TTCTCAACGGCTTTTCCCGACCAGACGACAGAGATCTGGAGAAGCCAGTTCTTTCTTACTTAACACTAACATCCTTTCAGCCATTGCTTCCCTCCTTTTGGCTTCAGGAAGCAAAAACCAGAGTTAGGAGGGAACGCTTCCTTAAGTTACAGGCACAAACACTGCCTGTCTGTGACATCTGGATGTCTGGAGGAGAGCCCTGAACCCTCCCCATTCCCCCATCCCTTGGTCTCCAGGAGGCCGTCCAAGAAGGCCAGGTTGCAAGGCAAAGGAAAGCAGACTGGCTAATTGGCAAGAGGCTCTTGACCAGAGAGTCCCCTTCTGCAAACTTCTTGCTCCACAACGTGCAGCTTCTCTGCCAGCACCCTGGAAGCGGTGGGCATCCAGGAAACCAGCAGCCAGCCCCGGAGAGCATGAATATGCAGTTCTTCCACAGGGACATGGGGCTTTCTCCAGTCCTGTGCTCTTGTTCCGTAGGGGATGGGGAAGGGCACAGAGAGAAGAAAAGTGAGAAACAGGACAAGAAGACAAATTGCCCCAGTGATGGAGACACCTGCAGTAGAGGCGGCTGAGCTCCCAGGGACACATTCTGTGTGCCTGTGAGTGACAGGGCGGTGTCCTCCAGAGCAGGGCAAGCAGGCAAGGGCATAGCTGCAGAGATGCCCATCATCCCTCTTAGCTGCACCATAAAGGCCTCTTAGATGGCAGGAAAAGCAATGGAGCAGGTCAGGTGCACGGCCAAGTGCAGTACACGCGGAGGCCTCTGAGTGGGCTCAGCTCTTGCTTCCAATGTGTGCGATTATGGGCTCTACGGTCCGCGCCCTTCTATGTCTCAGGTTCCTCAGTAAAGTAGAGGTATTAATACTCATCTCAGGAGGTGATTGCGAGGCGTCAACAAGAGTACATTTTGTCAGAAGGGACAGAAAGTCTGACAACCATGCCTAAAATAATGAAGAGTCTGTTGTTCTCACCTAACTCTAGAGGCAGACCAGCCAGGGCTCAGACACCTGTTCATATCTCATCAGTTTTAATGATTGCCCTTCACATATTAACATCTTGGGAATCTGGACGTGCTGTACAAGCGAGCTGTAGTTTCATTAACAGCATTTTCTCTTTCTTAATGGGACTTAAAAAACGGTGTGTCCTACCATATTGACAGTGTTTCCAATGAGAGACAAAATGTAATCATGAAGGGCTAGCCTCAGCCTGGTAGCTTTCATCCTCACGCTTTGCCTCATGGTTGCTTCAGGCCCCTCATCCACAGTACAAGCAAGAGGAAGAGAGGGGTGGGAAGGAGACGGAGGGTTTTCTCTTCGAGAGATGTCCTCGCCAACAAATTTGCACTTACACGTTACTGGCTGGAACTGTGTGACATGGCCTTCTGTGGGGTACTGGGAGGTTGAGGTTCAGGGTCCCAGCCGAAGAGGGAAGCAGGGGAGAGAGAAGGTGGTTGGGCCTGTAAGATAAGCAGCCCAGTCTCTGGCACGGAGTAGAAGCTCACCAAACAGCAGCTCTCTACCTCCACACGCAAACAAAACTGCAAGTGGTTTGTGTCTGGGCTGAGGTAGGCCAGCCCACCAAGCAAATTCATTTTCTTGGAACACTATAATCAACACTCTCTAGGAATGCAAATGTGGCTTGCCCAGAAAGGAGCGATAAACACTTCTCTCCTTTCCAACTCTGCAGAGCCCTGTCTGTAGGCTCGTGCACCACCAGAAGCTCTGGTGCAACGTAAACAAACAAGCTGTTTTGATTTTCTCACAAATGAGGTGGGGATTTGCTTTTTTTTTTTTTTTTTTTTTTTTTTTTTGGTTTTCCTTTACCAAGCTAAGCCATCTCACACGTTTGCTGCAGCCTGCAGCTCCTACTGGCCTCCACGAGAAGGACATCCATACCCCAGGCACCAGGACGTTCCTGTGGCTCGAGCTTTCAAAGATAATGGGAAGAGAGCTGGCCTCTCTTCAGTTTCACATATGTTACCTCATGTAATCCTCGCTGCAAATCTGCAAGCAGGGAATAAGCATTTCTATTTGCTCTACAGCTCAGGGAAAGGGGGAAAGTGTTCAAGGTCATTAAGGAGCCGAGACACAAATGCAGCCCCATCCGGTGCCTGTACCCTTTTCCCAGAGCCACCCATGACTGCAGAAGTATTACTTTCTATTTTATTCTCAGTTTTAGGCACAGAAAAAGTCAGGCATCTCCTCCAACATCAGGAGCCAGTGGGAAGGTTGTCACAGTTCCAGTGAAGCGTGGAAGTGGTGTGTGTTGTGGCCGCAGCTGCCCCAAGACCTCTGGTCCTCAGGGAAGCTGGCCTCTGACTGTGTGCTTGCAGGGCAGTGCGCTGGAGTCACAAAGACTTACCAGAAGGTGACTTCAGAGGCCACCCAGTACAATGCCCTCAGGGGACAGTTGAGGAAACCGAGATGGGGGGGGGGGGGGGGAGAGAAAGAGAGAGAGAGAGGCAAATGGCAACAATAATAAGAGAGACTAAAACTCAGGCCTCTAAACTTCTAGGCCATTTGCTTTTTCCAGCACAGCAGGCTCGGGTTGATTTTCAGGCTCTCAGGCAGCCTCTCCCAGTCAATCAGCAGGCCAGGCCAGGAAGCCACCCCAAGGAGCCTACTTGTAGATATTCATGAATTCACTTAACATTTCTAAAGCACTTACCCCAGGCTAAAGACTAGTTATACTGCAAGAACAACAAAGATAATGACCCAGTGCTCATGGTGCATTGGTGTTCTAGAGGGGCAGACAGAGCAGAAGGAAATAAATGGAGAGAAACAAGAAAATATCAGCTATCAGATAGTGCTGAGTTCTGCAGAAAATGACAGAGAGATGATACGGAGAGTGACCGGGGTGTGCTTCAGAACTTGGGTCAAGGACAAGCTCTCCAGGGGCTGACATTTAAGCTGAGACCACAATGACAGGAAGAAAGTAGTAAGTGAAGATCTGGGGAGAGAGCCGTCTTCACAGAGGACACAACAGATGTAAAGCCTCTGAGTTGGGGGGGGCCGGGGGGCCGGGGGGTGCAAGCTTGGCTAAATGAGGAAGAGAAAGAGATGCCTGGGTGGCTCAGGCAGTTAAGCGACCGACTTCAGCCCAGGTCATGATCTCACAGTTTGTGGGTTTGAAACCTGCATCAGGCTCTGTGCTGACAGCTCAGAACCTGGAGCCTGCTTGGATTCTGTGTTTCCCTCTCTCTCTGTTGTGTCTCTCTCTGTCTCTCTCTCTCAAAACTAAATAAACATTATTTTTTAAAAAATTTTTAATGAGGAAGAGAAAGGAGGCCCCTGGGGCCTGAGCTCAGGGAGCAAGGGAGAGAAGAAGGTGACAAGGTAGGAGATGCAGGCCAAGGACAGATCCCATAGGGCCCCGTAGCTAAGCCAAGGAGAGAGACTTTGGTTTTGTTCTTAATATAAGATGTCACTGGACGGTTTTAACTATACAATGCCATGGTCTCACTTAAGCTTTGAATAGATCATTCTGGATACTGTGGAAAGAACAGAAAGGGCGTAAGAATAAGAAGAGGGGGGTGAACAGTCAAGTGATGCCGACACTCTGGGGCACATGCCCATCAAACCCTAAAGCTGGGGGCTCTCCCTGCAGCTGTGTGGGCTGCACCCAACGTCAAGGGTGCCTTTCGCCTAAACTACAACACAAACAGCATCCTCTGAAGTTGTGCCTAGTGGGCCCGGCTTTTTAGTCCCTCGTGATTCTCAAAGACACAACCTTTACGTACTCCTATCAAAGGATCAAAGTAAAAACCCCTTCAGCACCATTTTCTACACAAAAGTAAGACAGACAAACTACAAATCACTACGTCTAAGACCGGATCATTAACTAAGCAGTAAAGTAAATATGTGGAATAATAAAACCTAAAATAACCTGTACCTTTAATTAACTCAGGTCTGTTGAAAAATACATGAATCCCTTGCTTATCTGCCCCAGTGCTTAGGGAAAAAAATCATGGATGATTCAAAACCTCATTTATAAGATTTATATTTATGTAAACAGGTACTTAATGAGGAGTACTCGGAGACATGTTGGAGCTATACAATGGTCAGTGCTATTTTGGTTGATATCATTGTCCAAGCTGAATCATAAATGCTTAAAAAAACAATATTCATTCTCTCATCAAATATTTATTGTATCCCCGCTATACACCAGCCATTGCTGGGCCCTGGAGCAAACAAACAGCCAATATGTTCCCTGCCTTTATGGACTTTATAGTCTAATGGCTGGACAGATGTTGAACAACAAAAACACACAACGAAATAGACAGCTACAATTTGTAATAAGAACTATAACAGAAAAGAGCAGAGAAAATAAGGGAGGGATTTTCATTTAGATCATGAGGGTCAGAGAAAGCCTCTCTACTGAAGCTTTAAGATGGCCAAGGGCCTCCATGGAGGGTGACACACTTCCACTGTCCCCTGACCTCATTCGTCTCTCTTACCTCTCTTCAAACAAATATGTGCTCAGGGACTCACCCTCTTACCCTTTATCCTTCCCTCCCAACTCTATGCCTCCAAGCTCTGTGACCCCAAGTGCAAGCAGATAACCCTCAGAGCATCACCTCAAATCAAGTAGGACTCAGGAGCCAGGGCACCAGACAGGAAGGAGCATGGAATTTCCTGGTCTGGTTGTCCCACAAGATCTCACTCCTTTTATAACCTTTGGGAATTGTTTCCTCTCTCCGGAAGTCTCCGTGTCCCCCATCTGTCACGTGGGTGGAAGCACACTGGCCATGGAATCCCCAGATGAGCCCCAGAGATGGGCTCTGCTGCCCAGACATCCTTGGAGGGTCCCAGAGCAGACTGGCAGACCTCCAGGCCAGACTGGGAACAGAGTGGCTGAGATAATGAAGGAAAAGCCCTACCCCCTGCCTGATCCCCTATGGACGCGGACCCTGGGGCAGGGCCAGACCGCATGCAGGGCTCCCAAAAGACTTCTTTACAAATCCTGCCTGCTAGCCCCTGATATTTCTCCCCTCCAGGTCTCATAAACAAACCCTTGAGATAAGATGAGGAATGTGGTAGGAATAACGTCATTGAAGAAATCATGTGGATTTTGTTTCTGGATGCTGCACTTGACATAAAGTCAGATCCAAGTTGCTCACAGGACTATACCTCTAGTCTCCTCACTCAGCCAACCTTCCACCTGCCCCCAGCCTCTAACCTGTGAGTACTGCCAAAAGCACTCTTCATTAGCACAAAACCCAGCAGTGACAATGTGACATCTGCAGAGAGAGGCCCAGGCCAGCTCTAGGTAAGAAGAGAAGATAAACCTTTTTTTGCCATTGCCTATTCTCACCTCTCCTGGGTGGGCTCTCTCATATCTGATAGTAGGATTGGGGAACGGCTAAGGAGAGCAGCTCCTGGAAGGGGAGGGGAGGTGGCAGAGGGAGCTGCTATGGACCTGGATGAAAGGAAGGAAGAGGGGCATACACATGACTTGCAGGAGGGAGGTAGTCCTAACCGGGCTCTAGCTGCTGTTCTACCAACACCAACTGGGTGGTATCACATCCCTCTCCTGATGGAAAATGATACCACACTAGACAACCTTTAAGCCATCTTCCAGCTCTAAATTTTTAAAATTCTCAGCAACTGCTAGGTTTTTTTTTTTAACGTTTATTGTTATTTTTGAGAGAGGGACAGAGGATGTGTGGGGAGGGGCAGAGAGAGAGAGGGAGACACAGAATCCAAAGCAGGCTCCAGGCTCTAAGCTGTCAGCACAGAGCCTGACGTAAGGCTCAAACTCACGAACCGGGAGATCAAGACCTGAGCCAAAGTTGGACACTCAACTGACTGAGCCACCCAGGCACCCCAGCAAGTGCTAATTTCTAAAGTGGTGCTCATCACACGTGTGCCTGTGTGCCCGGTAGGAAATGGGGCAGGAGACAGACTGCCGGCATCCCTGTTTGGTAAGAAGTGTATGCACGGGTGCAGTGGTTCCCAGCCTCTTTCAGAGGCAGAGCACCTCATGAATGATCACTAAATGCTTGACATACCCCCAAGGATTTTGGTGGATTTCAGCAAGGAGGGGAGGATCCAGGGCTGTGCATGATGCCTGGGGGCTGGGGCAGGGTAGCTGTAACTTCACATCACCCCAGCATATCCCGTGCATTTTAGAGCCACTGCCCCAGCTGACCAGATTTGGGAAATTCATGTTAACAGTGTTTTAGACTAAACCCAAATCATACTGCATGCTATCAGCAGAGTCTCTTGATTGCTTTATAATTTTTTTTTAATTTTTTTTTCAACGTTTATTTATTTTTGGGACAGAGAGAGACAGAGCATGAATGGGGGAGGGGCAGAGAGAGAAGGAGACACAGAATCGGAAACAGGCTCCAGGCTCTGAGCCATCAGCCCAGAGCCTGACGCGGGGCTCGAACTCACAGACCGCGAGATCGTGACCTGGCTGAAGTCGGACGCTTAACCGACTGCGCCACCCAGGCGCCCCTGATTGCTTTATAATTTATTCCACATTTATAACAGTCTGTTATTGTCCATCACTGTGCTACGTGCTGGAGAAGTAAAGATGAATAGAATGAAGTCCTTGCTTTCCAGCAGTCCCCACTGACCTGCTGGACCACCATGGGGTGTCCTTAACCAGAGCACCCATTAAGTCCAAATGGCACCTTTTGCAGGACCCCTTCTGGGCAGGTGCAGTCTGGCGGGCACACAGTCTGGTGAGTGATGAGGGAGCCTAAGGCAAGCTGACAGCCACAAACACCCCACCCCCACCCCAAGGTAATATTCCTGGGGTACTCCTGGCTGACCAAGAACAAAGGAAAGGGGAAAAACAAATGGTTAACTGGTAGAGATCATAGTCCTGCTGGACCTGAGTCTCCATCTACCTACAAATGTATTAGTAAGTCACAAGAAAAAAGGCAATCTTTTTTTTTTTTTTAATTTTTTTTCTCAACGTTTATTTATTTTTGGGACAGAGAGAGAGAGCATGAACGGGCGAGGGGCAGAGAGAGAGGGAGACACAGAATCGGAAACAGGCTCCAGGCTCTGAGCCATCAGCCCAGAGCCCGACGTGGGGCTCGAACTCACGGACCGCGAGATCGTGACCTGGCTGAAGTCGGATGCTTAACCGACTGCGCCACCCAGGCGCCCTGAAAAAAGGCAGTCTTATCAATAGGCTAATCTCCAGTGGTGCCTAGGTGGCTCAGTTGGTTAAGCATCTGACTTCAGCTCAGGTCATGATCTCACAGCTCGTGAGTTTGAGTTTGAGCCCCACGTTGGGTTCTGTGCTGACAGCTCAGAGACTGGAGACTGCTTCAGATTCTGTGTCTCCTTCTCTCTCTGCCCCTCTCCGCTCACTCTCTGTCTCTCTGTCTCTCTCTCCTTCAAAAATAAGCATTAAAATTTTTCTTAATCATTATAAAAAATTTTTTTAAATAGCTTAATCTCTAGAAACCTATAGACTCCTTTTCCAGGAGCCCCACCATCACCCCTCCATAGTGATGTGGGAAAAGAAGGCAGAAGGAAATGGCAGATAGAACTAAATGTTCTTATAACCTGCAGTCCATTGACAAATACTTGAGGCTGGCAGAATAAAAAGTTTCTCCAGGAACTCCCTCTGGTCTGAATACTAATGCTTTGCTAGAGGGAAAAACAACCTTAGCTTGACAATAGTTAGGCCTCTACTATCCTGGGAGTCTTCTTTAGCATAAGAAAATCCCCCTGGAAACTTCCCCTGGACTTTACCTCTCCCAACTCCATAGTATATAACCAGTCTCTCTTCATGATCCTGGGCAGCTCTTCCTGCCCACAAGTCCTATCCCTGTGCTTTAATAAAACCACCGTTTTGCACCAAAGATGTCTTCAAGAATTCTTTCCTGTTTGTCAGCTCCGTACCCCGCAAACCACACTGTCACCCCAACAACCTCATCAGTGAGCAGATTATAGCTGGCTGTTGGTCTCCCTTTGCCTTTTCATTCAAGCACTCTGGTACAGTGAACAATCCGTACAATGGATCCTGACGGTCACGACAAGACATCAAATTTCAATCACTGTCTAACGCATACTTTTGCTCTAATGCAAAATGCATGTTAGCAATGTCCGTCAAATGGAACACAGCCCTAAAATGTCACATGACAGTGGAGAGTGGAGTAAGCTGGCTATGACAGAAGATGCAAAATGTAAAATCTAGCCAACTTGGTGGTTATTGGAACATAAGAAAATGTTCCATATGAGATATACAAGAACCACAGGTATTCATAACAGCCCACTAGTATTAGAGGGAGACCAAATGATAGTGTGATAACCCTGGATGCTTTCATAGTCACTGCAAGACCCAGTTATACTACAGCAGTAACTGCTCAATTTGTTTAATGTGTTTTTAGTATTTTAATGCCTTCAAGTGTGCCACACACGGTAAAATTAATAAAACTATATAAAAAAAAAAGGTTGGAAATCACCAATCCCCAGTGGAAAAGAAATGTATAAGAAAATAATTCCAGCTCCATGATTAAGTTCTTACTGGAGATATGAGAGCAATAAAGGCAAGGCACTTAGTTCTACCTAGAGAGGCCAAGGAGGGCTTCCTAGAGGGGGTGATACTAAAACAAGCTTTGAAGGTTGAGTAGAAGTTTACCAAGTATACAGGGTAAGAAAGGCTTCCAAGTAATGGGAGCCACTTGGGCAAATGTGTGGAAGGAAGAACAAGTTTTGTGTGCTGAACTGCATGAAGTGATACGGCTGGAGAGGGTAGAATGAGTCTGAGAGTGTCAAGAGGTTAAGGTGAGGCCAGCTCACAAAAGAATATTAAGAATGTGGCCCACATTCTTCCCCCAAATTCAAACACCAACCCCATCCCTGCAGAAAAAGTAAGATTATTCTGAAGATACACATGATGGAAATTTCTGTGGGGTCAACAAAATGTCACAATCCTTAATCTACTTAGCCTTAACTGCTAAGTAATTGGCAGAAATATCAAGGACCCGGTTCTGCTAGATAGAAGCCTATCTTCAGGATCAGCTACCTAGTTTATGTGACCCATGAAAATGTGGGGCCTCTTGTTTGAAAAGTATTAAGAATTTCAAGACAGCAACCACCAAGTATTAAATGAAGTGCAGGTCCCTTTGAAGCATGGGACCTCATACAGGTCACCCACCCAGAGGACCAGCCTTATGGCTGAGGGAAACCAGAAGGCCTCATTAGAGCATTCTATCTTTATTGAAATTGGATTTATTTCTTTGGTTAAGAGCAAAGGATGGGGATGGGGGAGAATAAGAGGCCAATTCAAGGCATCAAAAATCTTTTTTTAGTTGAATTTTCAACATTTTGTCCTCAAAGTATCCCTAATAACAAGAAAAAGGTGGGGTACAGAAGTCTCCTTCTTACAACTTGTTTGAGAGTCCCCATGTCATTAAAAAATGCCTGCATATATCACATTTTTAATTGAGGTACAATTGACATTATAACATTCTATTTGTTTCAGATATATAACATAATGATTCATTATTTGTATATATTGCTAAACAATCACACAAGAAGTCTAGTTAATACCTGTCACCTAACATAGTTAGAAAAAAACTTTTTCTTGTGATGAGAAATTTTAAGATCTACTTTCTTAGCAACTTTCAAATATGCAACCAAGTATTAATTATGCTATACATTACATCCCCATGGCTTTTTTATTTATAACTGGAAATTTGTACATTTGGACCCTCTAAACAACATTTAACTGAATTTTATTTTGTTACCCAGTGTGAGAGTTGCTACCTTTTAATGGAGACTTCAGACTTCAACCAAATCACATGAAATTGTGAGGATTGGAGTGTTTGAACTTATTATGTCCATATACTTGAAACTTTTATTTACTATACTTTTTTTTTTTAATTTTAGAAAGAGAGAACATAAGCAGAGGAGAAGGGCAGGAGGAGAGAGAGAGAGAATCTCAAGGAGGCTCAGCACTGAGTGTGGACTTCACCCCACCAAGCTTGACCCCTGGGATTGTGACCTGAGCCCAAATCAAGAGTTGGGCACTCAACCGACTGAGCCACAAGCACCCCACTATAATTTCTTGTTGTTTCTATTCCTCCTCTGATTCCTTACTTTTGTTGGATTAATCCAAATGTTAGGTGTTGTGTTTCCTTTTTTTTTCTTTCAGCAGTTTGCAATTTATATATCTTATTTCTATTCTTCTGTTATTTCCCTTGAATTTTTCTTCAGCAGAAGAAAGAAGACAGTTTTATTTCCAATGATATGTGATTGTCAACTGATAACTACTTTATCTTGCCCTTGTGTTGTCGTTGTTATTGTCACTTTAGTTTTAACTAAGTTTAAGCTACCTGATATTTTCTCCTTGTGAAAAACCAACACGATAGGTTTGATCAAATTCCTATTTAACTACACCTCCAACCCTAGGCCTCTGCCAAAAGGTAATGACTGTACAGCTGAAACATATTCTACCAACTTTTCCCATGCATTTCATTATATATATATTTGTGTATATACTTCTGTATGTGTGTACGTCTATTTGCAAAATAAAAAAAAATGGCATTTTCTGTTATTCCATTCCTAGATATTTACCACACAGAAATAGTTGAATAGGTAGGCAAAGATATATGTGATAAAAGTTTTCATAACCATGTTAGAAATACTTTTGTTTATTGAAAACATCCCTGGGGCGCCTGGGTGGCTCAGTTGGTTAAGTGACCGACTTCGGCTCAGGTCACGATCTTGCAGTTTGTGAGTTCAGGCCCCGCGTCAGGCTCTGTGCTGACAGCTCAGAGCCTGGAGCCTGTTTCGGATTCTGTGTCTCCCCCTGTCTCTGCCGCTCTCCTGCTCATGCTCTGTGTCTCTCTGTCTCTCAATAGTAAATAAATGTTTAAAAAAAAAAAAAAAGAAAGAAAACATCCCAAACATCCATCAATAGGGGGTAGGGGGTTGATTGAACAGATTGTAGTACATCCATACTTTATATATAAAAAATGATACAATATACTATTAAATCCATTGACATAAAAAGATGACTAGAATATATTCTAAAACAAAGTAAACCTGGTTACAAACACACACACACACACACACACACACACACACACACACACACACACAACTGAAATGGTGTTTACCAAAATAATATGATGATTATCTCAGATGGCTACAATTTCAGATGATTTTATGGTCTTAATAGTTTATATCAATCAAATTTTTCTATAATAAGCATATACAGATGTTACACTTTTGAAAATATTAAAAACCTCATCCGTTATTCCCCCAAAATAAATTTTAACATAAATTCTCCAGGAAAATTCACGTTTATCCAAAGGTTTCTCTTCCTCCCTAGTATGTGACCTTGGATACCTGGAAAGCCTATGCCCCAGCTACAGAAGCAGAGTCTCTAGAAAACTTCAGGAAGATGAAGGAGGACTAGTCCCATGTGCTACACAGACTAAAAAATTCAAGCTGTGAATATTTAAGTGTCATTTTGCATGTTATTTATATATTTGTTCAGCTGTCTGTACTTATGTTTTCTGTATCCTAGATGTGTTTTTCTATGTTTTGCCTGAAATAATGTTTTCCTGAGAGAGAACCAGGCTGTAAAGTCCTTCATGTAGGTTGTCAGGAGAGCATTTCAAGCAGTTTGACATCTAAGCAATTATTTCAACACTGTTAATGAAGATCGATAATTATTTCAAGCACTAATTAGCACAGCTAATGTTCTTGATGCCATTAGTATACCTCACAACAGTTTAAAAACTCCTACATCTAGTATAACATCACTCTCATGGGACTCATACCTGAGCTTATACAGTTCAATTCCACAATCATTTCTCTACCACTTCCTATTAAACGTCAGATATCATTGCAAAAATGAGTAGGTTAAGTTATCAAGTTCATAGTCAAACGCAGGCTGAATTCAAGCTAATCTAAACTGATCAATATGTGATATCTGATCAGTTGCTATTCCTTCTGGAAAAGGAAAGGTGCTGACCAGATGCTATGAACCTCTACTTCTCACAGGGATGATGAAACTAAGGCCAGTCTCCATTCTCTAAGAGGGTAGAAAGACTCTCAGGAAGAGTTTCTCCCCCATTTTAAAGACTTAAAGGGGAAACAGGCTGAGTCAGACACACTATGGGATGTGTATGCGGATCGGCTTGACTTCTACATGAGGCTTTTCTACCAAGAACATAGATGTTTTTCCTGGGAGTGACTCAGAGTCTGTATGAAGAGTTCTCATCAGGGCCACATCAGCACGGCAGCACTGCTCAAACAAGCAGGAGTGTCAGGCAGGCCAGAGTAGAGGTTGTCAAGGGTTCGTTCGTTTTTGTGCAATCTTCCTAGGTGGTGACTGGAAGTTGTTTGGAAAGACAGGCTTGTGCTCAGGGGATGAAGAAATCCAAGTTTTAGGTTTCCCGACCTGTGATGGTACAACCTGGAAGCTACGCTAAGCGAATGTGCCATTCATCCTGAGGATGCCACCAATACCCTTTGGTGCGGTGGGTGCCTGTGTGTGTGTTGTATATATGTATATCCACACACACACACAAAGGTATTTTCTGTGACTCTCTTCTATTTCGAGGAATAAATATAGAAATTCTATTTCTAGGAATGGATATAGATACTGTGATGGGGGAGCCAGGATATCAGGCCCTGTGCTGGCCTGGAGGGGATCGCACAAGACCTACCCTGTAACTCCAAGTAATAGGTATAGGCCATTTTATTTTTTAATTTTTTTAAGTTTATTTATTTATTTTGAGAGTGAGCGAGTAAGAGAGTGGGGGAGGGGCAGAGAGACAGGGAAAGAGAAACCCAAGAAGCCTCCACACTATCAGCGCAGAGCCGACACAGGCTCGAACTCATGAACCGTGAGATCATGACCTGAACTGAAGTCAACTCACTGAGCCCCCCACCACGCACCCAGGTATAGGCCATTTTAGAGCAAAGGAAGTCAAAGTGTTACTACCATTATTTTTACACATCCCAGAAAGTCTACAAGCTCTCTACTCCAGCTTCCCATGTTGGATTGCTCTATCAGCTGTAAGGCAGGGTCAAGGCAGAAGCTCCTGGCACCCAGCCGGGGGCAGAGCTACAGACCTGGAGGAGAAGCACGGGTCTCCAAATCTGGGACGAAAACTCCTCCCTCACAGTAGCTTCATACTTAGGTTTCCACAGTCCTTCCCATTTTTTTTCCAAAATAAGAGACCACTCTCCCCATTTTGCAGATGCAAAACTCAAGGGCCAGACCTAACAGCCACACCAAGCGCTTGTGACTCGGCCAGTGCTCAGACTCAAGGAAACCACTGAAAGGGGAGACCATGACAACAAGAGCTGTCTCCTCCATTCTCTGCAATCTCTGGGCAAAGAAATCACAACATTCTTCTTATGAACACAGAAGAACAGAACGCAAGACTTCCAACTCATGTCCCTCTCTCTTCCCTCCTCATCTAGCCCAAGCCAAACCTCCAGTTCCCTTCCCACAGACGTTCGATTCTCAACCTTCTTCCTCAGCGTCTTCAAGTGTGTTCTGTGAAATAAAATGGCACAGAAGGAGATCTTGTGAGTGGAGCAGTGGTGGGTCAGCGGCCATCCCTTCATAGAAAGGGAGGACCAAACAAAACAAAAGCTACAAGTGCAGGAGTTCAGATTCTAGACCTGTGGGGTCTGGTGCAGAAGCCACTGCACATGTGTAGCTGTTGAGCACTTGAGATGTGCTAAGTGCAGCAGAAAGACGAAATGTTTTGTTTCAATTAATTTTAATTAAACTTAAGTTTTAAAATTGACCATTCAATTCGGTTATTGGACAGCAAAAGTATGTACGAAGCAAGTGAGATTTGTAACTACTTCTTCAACCATACACATTATGAACTCTAAATGCAGATCAAGGATTTCCAATGAAAATGTAGCATCTAAACTCAGATGCACTGAGTGTAAAACACACACCAGAGCTGGAAGACTTCGTAGGAAGAAAATGCAAAATATCTCATTAATAATTTTTATACTGATGCATGTTGAAATGAACATACTTTAGATATATTGTGTTCAATAAAGTTGTATCATTAAAATTAATTTCACCTGATTCTTCTTTTTATATTTTTAAATGTGGCTACTGGGAAATTTTAAATTGTGTATCATATCTCTATGGGTTCTTTGCTGTAGATGTTTAATGTTCCCGGGGATAGTGCTGGAGACGGGATATCCTGGTCCAGAGCCTCATTTATCACTCGCCCTCTCATATTGCTACAAGGTCCCTCCGGAAGACTTTCCAGCCCTCTCTTTCTGAATTTCTGGTTTAATGTTACTGACACTGGGAACACGCACTTCCCTTCACCCTTACCCCACTGACAGTATTCTCTCTCCCTAATCCTGCTCCCCACTTGCCTCCTCTACCCTGCTTTGGAAAACCCATTTCTACTACAAAGAGCTCTCCTGTCCCTCCCCATTTCAGTCTTTTCCTTTAACCCCACCTTCCCTGACTTTTTCTGACAATTTCTGTCTCTTGAAATAGCTTCAGTAGAGGTGAAGGTCTTCATGAGAGGTCTGCTTCATTAGACCTCTTAGAGGTCTTAGAGGAAGGTCAGGAGGAGAGGCCATCATTGTCTGTTCTTGCCAGGTCTCTCTGCTGCCACATGTCTCCCACCTTCCCTCTCGAATGCTGGTGACAGATGTTCATGCCCTCTGTCTTTACCCCCTTTGTTTCACTCTCTCTTTCTCTCTGACTCTACACCTCAGGTTGGATTTCTGGAAAACAGGCTCTGCACAGAAATGGAGATTGGTGGGTAGGAGGTCTATCGGGAGATAGTCTTGGGAACAACTCCTATAAGAAAGTGAGGAAGTGAGACCAGACAGAGAGTGAACTTGAACTGAGATGCAGTTTCCACAGAGGCCTCAGCTGATCCCCTGGGGAACCTAGGAGCTGGGATAGCCCTTTAGGGTCCTCTGGTATGAAAGGAAGCAGATGTGTCTTTGTAGTCCTGCATCAACCAATTGGACCAGATGCCCCAAGGAGGGGCTATCTGGCTTACAGTCCCCACTACTGAAATGACCCTCTCAAAAGTCTCCCAAAGATCTCATTTCTAAGTCTAACCCAGTTTTCTTGGGCACCCTCCCCTTTGGTGTTCCTGTAGCACGGGCTCCTATGGAACATACACTCTTCTCCTGGATCTGGGTGTCCTGCACAGTGCTGACCCTCCTGGATGGCATCAGTTTCTTTCTCTGGCTCCTTTTCAAACATCTACCTGGGCTCTGTCCTCAGCCCGGCCCTCTCCACATTGTCCAAACTCAGCTTCACATCACCCAGAGTCTGCTCTCAGACTTCCACACTCACAGCACCACCATGGTCCTTCTTCAGACCCCCTCTCTACCTCTCCATGTACACCACACACAGCAAGCTCTGTAGAACCCACACCCACCGCATCTTCTGCATTCACTCCCATTTCAGGTCTTCCTCTCACACGGACCATTGTCGGCTCTGCTGATTTTTCTCTACTGCCATGCCTCCGTCAGCAATCCCAGCCTCCAATGTCTTCCCTGACCTAGCACCCTGGTAAATGGGTAACCTTG